CCCCCCCCGGCCCCTCACTTGTGCAGCAGACCCTGGGCGTCCAGCTCAGCTGCAATGCGCTCCTGCACCTGCAGGATGCAGAAGAGGGACCGGCATGTGGCAGGGTAGGCAGGGGCGTCCTGGCAGCAGACCGGGCCAAGAGCGGCCTGAGGCTGGCGATCAGTAGGCACGATTTTTCCGCCGCAACCTCCTGTTTGGCCTCCGTCCGCCCGGACATGTCTGCGTGCTGAGGTGACTGCCAGAAAAGAAAGCAGTGGCAAACACAAGTATGAAAGCAAAAATAGTGTACCCCAGGATGCACCGGTTGGCCTCACCTCGGGGTGGGTGGCGATGTTGAAAAGAGTCCAGCTGGTGGTGTGGCCTGCAAGAAGGGGAAGGCGGGTGCATGTGCGGGGTCAGGCCCGTTTGGATCTCTCACTTTCCCTACACAATATGTAATTGAATCAATGGCAGTGCCGTGGCCGCCCCAGGCCGTCTTTGACTTGGCTCAAACTCAGGTGAGAATGCCTTGGGAGAGCTAGCAGGCAGCTGGTGCATTAGCAGATCAGCCAGCCATGCCGTTCGTTTGAAGCAGGCAAGACCACGCACCCGTGGTCTCAAACCCCTCCACGAACAGGATGCCAATCTCTGACAGCATGCGGTCCTCTGAGATCTCGGGGTGGTCCCGCAGGACGCGCCAGATCTGCGGGGTGCGGTGGAGACTGTTGACGAGGCCGAGGTTGCAGGTGCCACCGGTGGCTCAAGCTCGCATGCCTCGCAGTGGCCTCGCAATGCTGTGGCCCAGTAGCCCGTGGCTATGTCCCTGCAGCCTTCCCGCCTTCGACGTAACGCATGCCGCTGGCTCGTGAGGTGATCAGGGCAGCCTGCATGCTCAGACCCCAAAAGCAGTCCCGACCCGTGAGGGCAGGCTGACCTGAGCCCCGATGTCGGTGTTGTCGTCTGACGGCTCCCCGTCCTTGATCTTGTTCAGCAGGAAGCGCATCTGATCCTGGAACTCCCTGAACGCCGCCCCGCCTGCGCGTGTGGGCGAGTGCAAGATGCTTGCCGCCGTTTGTCCTCACCTACGGCAAGGTGCTTGCCACAGCACAAACTGGCCAAGGTCTTGAGGACAGAAGACGGGCGCAGATAAGGTCCACGCGAGCGTGCCGCCCTGATGAATTACGCCAAGCAAGGCCCCCCCCCTGGAGAACGGGCCGACCAACGCAGGGAAGACTTGCACCTCGACGACACGCGAGCTGCCCCCACCCCGTGTCTCAATCCCAGGCAACGCAGCGCACCCTTGGGGCCGCCCTTGAATAGCCCTGGCACCACGGCCCTGAGGGGGTTGGCCAGCCGCAGCATCACCTCGGTGAAGCAGCGGGGCAGGACACGCTGCGCGGTTTTAGGTTGTGTGGAGAGGGCCGAAACGAGGATCGACAGTGAGAGTGCGAAGGTGTGAGATGGACAGAGCAGCATGCACTCATGCATCCATGAGGAGCGGCAAGATGCATGGTTGGCTGTGCAAGCTATGGGCGATTCCTTTCGGCACGAACAGGTTCAACCCGTCTGCCCACAAACCCCCAGCCAACCAGCAGGGCGCACCAGCATGTGGCTGTACGCGGGTGTGTCCTGCTTGACTGACTGGTAGTCGTGGCCAAAGCCCGCCAGCCCGATGACGTCAAGGGTCACCCTCAGGGCCGCCTGGTCGACATCAATGGACGCGTCAGGGCCCTGGGCCGCCACGCGGGTGATGAGCTGCGGTTGGGAAGATTTACGAGGTGAGGTGGGGGCAGCTGTTGAGAATGAATGCGCGTCAGGCTGGGAATTGCATAGCCAACGGTTGCGCAACCAAGGAATTGGGGGCTCTTGCGTTGTGCATATGGGTGAGCAGCTGCTGGCAGGGGCGGGTGCACCCGCGCGCATTGGTTGAAAGGTCCTCCCATAGCAAGTCAACACGTGGGGCCCCCTCCCCACTACGGTAATGCACCAAATTGCGGTAAGGCTACGAGAGGGACGCCATGCCAGCCGTGCTAGCACGCCGCCTTGCACCTCGTTGACACGGCCCAGCACCATGGGAAACTTCTTCTTGATGTTCTGGAACGCGAACGACGCCGCCACCGCCTTGCGCACCACCTTCCAGTTGTCGTCGGCCGCTGACGTCAGCAGGTTGGGCTGGCCGTGGGGCTCGCACATCTGGCGGCAGGAGGATTGATTCCGTTGTAGGTGAAGCGGGCGCCAAATGGGCGACCTCGGATGTGTGAAAAGCGCCAAACGGACAACTTGCAAGCAGCTAACGGTGAGCACACAGCAATGGGGGACACGTTTTGCGAGACCAAATGTGTGGTGGCACGACAGGCTGCCGCGCCTCACCGTGTTGATGGGCGCGTACGCCGCCGCGGCCTTGTCCAGGGCCCCCTCGCCGCGCCCCATGATGACGGCGAGGGCGTCAGGGTCTTGGCGGGCGGGGTGCGGGTGGGGGCGGGGGGGGGCGGACTTTGTGCGGTTGTGAGAGGTTGGGTGAAGAGGCGTGCTGAATAGGAGGAGTGAAACGTCATGTGAAGGCGGAGGTGGGGTGAAGACCTGCAAATGTGGGCTGTTTTGAGGAGATTTGATGTTGTGCAAAGCTGTTAGATCCGATGCGCTTTTTGCTGGCGCGAGGGCTGACAGAAACCTTTGCTGCGGCAGCCCGCGGCCCGTGGTTGACCTCAGGCCGAGCGCAGGCTTGTGAGCCCCCTGGCGTTGCAGGTCTTGAGCGCTCGGTGGGCTTGCCGTCACTGCATGCTGTGCTCACCGGTGACCACCAGGGTGTCTCGCCACAGGAACTTCATGCGATACACGCCGCCTGGCGGGCGCGTGGCAGGCGAGCAATCGTTGCGCTTGGAAATTTTGGCGGTTATGCATTTCAACAATGTAAGAGCAGAATTGAAGGCCAGGGCCGTGCGTCCTCGGTTTCGGGCGCCCTGGCGTGTTACACGCAAGCCGGACAGATCAACACAATCGCACAGCCTTGCCATGTCCTCACACCATCGGGTACCGAAACACATGCGCTCACACAACCAACACCACGCGCGATCACCCACTTGCAAGGGCAGCCGACATGCACCCGCCCGCAAGCCCCCGCGTCCGCCACCCCCACTGGCACGCACCGTACTCATCGGCCCACGCGGCCAGCACGCGGTGGAAGTCTGGCCGCAGGCAGTCCAACACGTTGCCCACAACCGGCAGCGCCCGCCGCCAGGGGCCGGGCACCCTGTCCAGGTCGTAGGTGGCGCGCCTGCGAGGGGTTAGCGGGCGGGAGCACACGGGATGTGTGAGTGCGCGGGGGTGGGTGTTGGCGAGCTGATAACCCAGATGTCATCCTCCCGTCAACTGACGCCCCACCGCCAGCACCGCAGTTGAAGACACGGGCGCAGGGACCCGAAACCCCGTGGCGGTGGCAGCATGAGTCGTGCGAGGGCGCGAGCCAGCCCATGTGTGCGCGTTCCCACCTGTTGAGAGCCCACCAGGCCAGGAGCAGGGCGGCTGCGGTCGCGGCAGTGGCGACGGCCTCCCACCCCGGGGAGACGCTGCCGAGCAGCCGCTCCAGCAGGGGCTGGTGCGCAGCCTCCAGCAGCGCTGGTGCAGCCGTCGTCGCCATGTCTCTGGCGCGCAGGGTTACTGGGGAGCGGGACGGTCTTGTAGCGGGGTTGAGAAGGCGAGCAGCTGGTCACGAGTCGAGCGCGCACTCGGCGACCGCAGCACGAAGCTGCAAACGGATCGGGAGACGATGACACTAGTGGGTCTTGTACGTCTTGCAGCTGTCTACGCTTCAGTGATTGCGGCACGGGAGCTCTGCCACGCCAAAGCGATGTGCCTCAGGGTCGGCGAATGTAATAACATGAATATTTCCGTATATGTAAGGAATTGGTTGCAGCTATGTATCATTCAATTGTCCGTCGACACTGCCTGCACAGTATCACTCATTGATCATTGAGAGATCATTCTGGTGGGCGACGGGCTCAATGCTCACTTTTTGATCGGAGCTCACGGCAGCTTGTATCAGAGTTGTATTTCTATCGTTTTCGCGCGTCGAGCGAGCACGTCTCAACCAAGCCAGCAGTCGGCGCCAACTCAGCAGACCGCGCTGGTCAACCGGCATGCCGGAGACTGTCATGACTTTACAAGTCGTCGACTCACCTGCCCAGCTACAACACCAGCACGGCCTCGATGACATGGGCCCTCTGATATCTGGTTGCACATTTCAGGTTATGATACGTCTGAGCATCTCGAGCCCACACGCCTGTCTCGCTGGCTCAGCTTCCGTGCACACTGATTGGCCCATCAGGCCATCCGCACCCCGGCTGCCAGACACCCTTATACTATGCGATGCTGCATAAAGGATGCCAAGTTTGTTGTCCATCATGGTGAGCAACTGAGTTGAGAGCAACACCTGCGGTGAGTGCCTCACGAGGCAGTGCTGATACGGCGGGGGAGTGCCGCTGCTTCGCCCACACAGGACAGGACATGCAAACAATGTGGGATGTTGTAATCAAAAAATATACTGCGCCATCACTCCCTGTAATGAGGTGAGGGGAGAGCAAGGCGCGGATAGCATGCAGTCTCTTCGAGCTGGTGCGTGCAGCTCACAGCTGAGCGTGACATGGGTGTTGCAAGCCGTGCAACGCGTTTGCCACCGTATGGTGCAATGGTTACGTTTTTGCTGGTGGTGCCAAAATTCGGGCGGATTTTTTCTACCCAGCAGGACAGTGGATATCCACTGCAAAGCATAGCATCTCGCGTGACGTGGCGGATTTGGTAAGGGGTTTCGCGGGTGCAGTGTGTGTATGCGGCAAAGGTAGCAGGCCGTGACACGCATGCGGGCATACTGACACATGTTTTCATTCCAAACGCAAGCAAGCCCCTGGATCATGCTTCCGCAGCGCTGTCGTGCAGTTTGTCTTGTGCATCACTGCAGGTTGAGCTGGCATTTCATGATTCAAGGCAGTGCCGGGGCGCCGCTGTGCCTGGATGCACAGGGGTGCGTAAGACATACAGTATTTTGTTTTTGAGTTGTCTTACACCGTGTTAGCACTTATCAGTGACACGATCGATGTCGGTGTGATGGCGCCTGTACACAAGGGCGTCCCCAAGAAGCCGCGTGTGAACGTTCAGACCCGTCTTATCGCCGAACTCGAGGGCCTGGTGCTCACGAAACGCCATGAGGTGCGTACCCGCCGCGGTCGAGGAGCGGGCTGTGGTTGCATACAGAAGAACGTGCTTGGTACGTATTTGTAACTGCAGTAGCCCGCCGTGTGGGCGCCCCACACCAGGAACCCCCGCCTGAGCAAGTCTCGCCACGCTCGCCTGGGGGCGGCGCACCGCCACTGCAATGCGGTTCCGCTGTCCTGACACGCTGGAAGCTGCTTGAACAGGACTGCCAGTGCACCCACTGCAAAGTTTACCGTTGAAGAGCCCCGCATCTGACCCTGGCGTGTGCATACGCTGTGGCTGCGCTCGCACACACCCATGCTGCGCGTGCTGCGCCCGCCCGTCTCGCAGGTGGACGCTCTGGTTGAGAAGCGCAACGTGCTGCGGGAGCGGGCGGCGGTTGCACAGAGCTGCGTCGATCACTGTGAGGCACTCATCGCCCTCTCAAACGCAATCCAAGCCCGACCCCGGGACATGCCGGCAGCAGCCGCGGCCGCAGCGGTGTCGCGCGCAGCGCAAGGCGCCGCTGCTGCGCATCCCCGCGCTGGCGCTGTCGACAACAGCAGCGGCAGCGATGACAGCAGAGGTAGTGCCGACTTCCAGCCCGCTGACGCCGTAAGCGCTGGCGCTGTGGGCGCGGGCGTGGCGGACGCCATCCGTCCAGAATCCAGCGGCGGTGGCTCCGAAGGCAGCACCTGCGGCGGCGCCCGGGACAGCAGGGCGGCAGCGGCGGGGGCGGCGGGGGCGGACGCAGCGCGTGCGCCGCACACATCTGCGCAGTGGCAGCAGGAGGTGTCGCAAATGAGATGCGAGCTGGAGGCCGCAAGCGTTGGCGTCACTGGGCCCCAGCCGGCCGATGGGCCGGGCGGCACTGTGGGGCCTGGAGCCGGGGCCGGCGTCGGGCCGCATCTGGAGGTGGACTGGTGGCCGCGCGGCGGCGGCGCGGCGGCGGTGGCGCGCGCCGCGCGGCCCGAGGCGCTCACGCTTGGCGCGTTCAGGGCGCTCGTGCTGGACTGCATGCGCCACTTTGGGGTGATCCTGCCGTGAGTCACCTCCTGCAGGGCCGCTCCCGGGGGACGGTGTGCTGGGGAGTGTACAAGGACCTCAAGAAAATAGCACCCCTTGAAACCCCCTTCCGCATCCTGACGCCCCGGCTGTTGTGCTGCCGTCCCGCGAGGGCGACCTGTTGCAGTTGTGGCCTTGGCGCCGTCCCAGGCTGTGTGCTGGGCCCGCGGGACGCACCCGGCGCACTGCCGCCTCTCCTCGCCCCTTGTTATCGCCACGCGGCCGCCTCCAAACCCACGCCCCACCCCACAGCCGCCTGCAGACGGGCGCGCCTGACGCCGAGGCGTGCCGCCGGCAGCTGGGGGAGGTGCGGTCGCGGCTGCTGGGCCACTGCGCGCTGTTGACCCTGGTCAACCCCACGCTGCTGGGCGAGGTGATGCTGGAGCCGCTCGACCCCGAGGCACCCACCCCCGCGACGGGGCTCGAGCCGCCGCTGTCGCACTGGGCGTACGCGGTGTGGCAGGCGGCGCTCACGCGGCAGCAGGTGGGCGCCGGCGCGCACGCGAGGGGGGCCGGGGGTCGGGGCGGCGCGGAGGCGGG